AATAAAATGTTCAAGAAATTGCAGGAAAATGACTTCATTTGACAATCCGGACTTATTAGCTGCTCCTACACTTCCAGGAGGACAATTATTTAACATGTGATCTTTGAATTTAGCACGCGGAAATACAAGTAATGAAGGGATGCTATTTCCAGTAGCATTAATGGCTGCAATCATTGTTACATTATTGCCTCGTTCAGCACTAGTCATGCTCCCTAATTGTTTTTTGCCTTTTGGAGCTAGAATTTTTGGTGGTACGTGAACTGTGGTAATTCCTGTTTCATCACAGTTCAAAATATTTGATGGATCAAAATGATAACGTTCTAAAACATTTTTGTAATTTTTATATACAATTTTTACGGTTTCTCTATTGAATGCAGAAGATCTACCAAGACTTGTAGGTTGTGGTTTACGTAGAGATAGCTTGTTATTATATCTTTTGCGAAAATCTTGTAGCCATTGTTCACCTGGACATTTATTTTTTATCCATGAAGTTTCAACTTTTTTATAATTTTATAAAGCATACTCATATGCAAAGGACCTTATCTGCTTTAATGTTAGTCCATAATGCATATTTGCAGCATCTACCAAGTAGTTTACCAATATTAATTCTTTTTCTGTTGAGAATATTTTTTTTGGTTTGGTATGCGAATATAAATATTCGCAACTACCAGATTTTTTAAATTGCTTTAACTGGTATATTAAAGATGATTTTTTAATGTTGCAATGTCTTGCAGCTTTACTTAAACTCATTTTTTGTTGAAGCACAAAATTCACTGCATTAAGCATATCCGTTTCGGAAATCTTTTGGCGAAAAACACCAACCTTGCTCCTTGGCATTTTAAGACTAAAATAAATTAACAGAATTAACTATTTTTATACATTTAATTCCCTATAGCTGTACAGAAATTAGGTAATAAAATGAACTTGAAAATAACATTGCTTCAGCTATCCAACTAACTAAATTAACAAAATTGATTATTCTAAATAGAGTAGTGGTCCAAGAATAAATAGTTAATTGCATTAAAATTCAATGGAATTATTTCATTACCATTATACTAGAAACAATTTTGCATTAAAAAGCAATAGAGTACAGACGCCTAATAAAGTAGATATAAATTTTATAAATTTGCGCTCTTAAAGTCCGCAAATTACCAAGGAAACAGTTTTTGTCGGTCAAAAGTACAACGTTCTAGTCGGGTCAAAGGTACACGAGATGGGTTTCTTTTACAATTATCGTCTTAATCCCCATTTATGGTCAGACATAACCATCCAAGCTTTTCCATAACAAAAAAATGATGTTGGAAAATATTTATAATGTCGTGGATGAATCAAACAACAATTTATCACATTTTTAAAATCAGAAAAAGGTTAACACAAATATTTACTTTTTAATGGCCAAAACTTATAATTATTTGTGGATCAATACCATCTATCCCAAGTATGATGTTTTACGGTAAGAAGAGTTGTCATGGACTATTGTTTCAAAAGGCACTTCACGTTTTTTGAAAATAATAATAGTAAGCCGACAGAGTAGAGTGACCAAAGGTACAACGTGGTCAAAGGTACAACAGGTTCCCCTATTTTTTTTTAATTATATTGAATATTTTTTAATTAGTTATTTTCAAAAAAAAAAAAAAAAAAAATGGCGTCGCTTTTTTCAGAGAAATTAGATTTTCATAGTTTAAATTTAGATCTTTTTGAGGACAACTTTATGAATAATCTATCTGAAGAAAACATAAATACTTTTCAAGAAACTCAAATCAACTTAATTAACATACCGTATATTGATCCCTTTGATTTTAAAGTAAAAACAGATGATTGTTCATTTTCTGTATTACACATAAACATTAGAAGCATGCAGCAAAATTTTGATTTTAAAAAAAACTTAAAGAATTTTTAAATATTTTAAATTACACGTTCGACGTCATATCTCTTTCAGAGACTTGGCATGATACAGAAAGTACTCTTGAATTAAATTCTAATTATACTTTACCATTTTACAAACTAATTAGTCAACCAAGAGGTGGTGGGAAAAAAGTAGGAGGATTAGGAATTTATGTCTTGGAAAAGTATGCTTTCAAGATAAAAAACATGCTATGCTTTTCTAATAATAATTATGAAAGTCTTGTCATTGAAATTATTAATAAAAAATACCGAAACGTTTTAGTTGGATGTGTTTATCGTCCACCGAGTGGAAAAACAAAAACCTTCTAAACTTTTATCAAAAATACGATTATAAAAATAAATAAAGAAAATAAAACATTATACATTACTGGTGACATAAATCTTGATGCTCTTTCTAACACAAAATTTCCAAAAATAAAATCTTTTTTTGATATGCTTTTTAAATTGAATGTCTTGTGAACTATTAATAAACCAACGCGAGTAACAAAAACCTCGGCAACAGCAATAGACAATATTTTTATTAATAATTATTTAGAAACGACATTTGAAACCGGTTTATTTATGACAGATATTAGTGATCATTTCCCGGTATTCATAAAAACAAAAAATCTAAAAGCTATGACTGATTGTCATTCAAAAATCACACATTTGAAAAAACGAAATTTAAAAATGAGTAACACTAATAAATTAACAAATAGACTAAAACAAGAAACATAGAACAACGTATATAAATGTCAAGATACGAATGGAGCTTACAACGCTTTTTTAAGTACATTTTTGGAGTACTTTAATGAAACCTGTCCTCAAGAGAATATAAGAATTAAGTCAAAAGCAATTGCTAATCCGTGGATGGATAAATCGTTATTAAAGTGCTCAAAAAAAAAAGCAAAAACTTTACAATAAATTTCTGAAAAATAAAAACAATGATAATGAAAAAACTTACAAAAATTATAAATATTTTTACCAAGATCTCATTAAAAATGCAAAAAAAAAAATAGTACAGTAATCAAATTAAAAAATGCAAATTTGATTGCAAAAAAACATGGTCCATCATCAATGTCATAATGGGAAGAGAAAAACTAAATTCACCTTCTCTACCTAAACGAATTGTTATTGAAAACAACGATATATTTAGCCAAAAACAAATTTTGGAAGAATTTAATAAATATTTTACAAGTATTGGTCCAAATCTTGTAAAAAAAATAGTACCAACATCTGTATCATTTAAAACCTTCCTTAAACCAACGAATAATGTTATCATGCTTGATTATGAATTAACCTATGAGGAATTTGAGGCAGGTTTTTCCTCGTTAAAAAAAAAAAAGGCTCCGGGATTTGATGAAATATCTAGTAATATAGTTATTGCAAACAAACACAGTCTTAAAAGACCTCTAATACATATACTAAAGCTTTCGTTAAATTCTGGGATATTTCCGGATGTACTTAAATTAGCAAAAGTAACTCCAATGTACAAATGTAATGATCATTCTGACATTACAAACTACAGGCCTATATCAGTACTTTCTTTATTTTCAAAACTATTCGAACGTGTAGTTTATAATAGAATCTATGATTACTTCATTAAAAACAATTTTTTTTACCCTAATCAGTTTGGTTTTCAAAAAAATCTCTCTACTGAGCATGCAATCATTGAAATAGTAAATCAAATAACTAATGGTTTTGAAAATAATAAATTTACTTTAGGAGTATTTCTTGATTTATCAAAAGCATTTGATACAGTGGACCACTGTATTCTCTTAGATAAATTAAGACATTACGGAATAGTTAATAAAACTTATTATTGGATTAAAAGCTATCTTTTAATCTGGAGTGTTAAATGTCGTATGTGGAGTTCCGCAAGGATCGATTCTTGGTCCACTTTTTTTAATATATATAAATGACTTCTGTAATGCATCCTTAAAATTTAATTCAGTCATGTTTGCAGATGACACGAATTTATTTCTTACCAACAACGATATCAAGAAATTATATGCGGACATGAATATTGAACTAAATAAAGAAAATAACTGGTTTAAGGCTAACAAACTCTCACTTAATACCGAGAAAACAAACTATATACTTTTTCATAAAAAAACACAAGAAGAAAATCTTCCTCTCAAGTTGCCGAACCTATTTATAAATGATAAATTAATTAAAAAGCAATCCAATATAAGATTATTGGGAATCGTTGTTGATGAAAAATTATCCTGGCTTCCTCATATAATATATATCCAGTCAAAAATTATCAAAATCATAGGTTTAATGTATTGAGTTCGCTCGTACATTAATACAAATAGTCTTAAATTAATCTACTTTGGGCGAATTCGCAGCCTCATCAGCTATGCAAACATTTCATGGGCAAGTACTCAAACAGCAAAGCTTAAGAAACTTTATAGTTTTCAGAAACATGCCTGTATAATGATTTACTTTAAAAATAGGCGGGAACACATATAAACTGCCAAGGATAATAAATAAATATTCAAAATACAGCATTTTATATACAGGTCTAAAGGTATGGAATATTTTTCAGAAAGAGTTCAAAGGTACGGTGTGTTCGTTAAGTTCATTCAAGTTTTTAACAAAAAAAAGAAATCTTTAAAACCGGTGAAACATTTTTTGTTAATAATGCTTTGGATAAATTCTCTTAAATAAGTTTTTGTTTTGTTTCTACTTTTGTTTGTTGCTTGACAATTTATATTAGCGGATTACGCATTTTGTTATGATATTTTATTGACATTTTTATTTTGTATGTTATATTACGATATTTTAATTAAATCTTGTTAAAGGGGTTCTATGAAAAGATTGCGATGACGTTCTGTCATCCTCATCTTCTTTGAGTCCCTATCTGTTTTACTTATTTTGTTAAATTTTATATTATGTAGTAGAATCTGTAAAATTCTTATGTTATGTAACCAGAGAAAAGAAGAAAAAAAACAAAACAAAAAAAAACAAAAAAAAAAAACTTAAAATACTTAATAATAAAAAAGCTCTGTTAAGGATACGCCGTTTTTCTAGTGAAACGGCGTATCGTATTTTCGGTAGTTTTTTGCTGTTGTTTCTCAAATAAAGCCGCAGAAGTTACAAACATTTGAATTGTAAAAATTTTGGCCATGGCGGCTACGGCGGCGGCGGTCAAAAAGTCTTATATGCAGTAACAAACTGTAGAGACATTGCTATTATTTTTTTTAGATTTTTCTTTTCACAATAAACTTTTAAATTTTCTTATAATTATTTGGAATGTTTTAAAATTTTCCTAGTCATCATATTAACCCGTTCTCAACCTACCTTGGCTTTCGGATCGATTGATTTACTAGTTGTAAGTTACATCTTGTAACAGTTTCATTATGTCAAAATTTTTGATCACATCGAGATCAATTTGTTCTTTAAAGTTTATTCAAAGATGTTATTCTGTTAAAGAAGTAGCTTCAGCTATAGACCTAGAATTATTTGGAACAGTTTACAGAACAGATAAGATGACAAATATTGGATCAAGTATAATAAGCAAACTCTCTAAAAAACTTCATTTGCAAAAGAACCACCCACTTGAAAAAGTTAAATCAAAAATAGTTGACCATTTTCATGGAAATTATCGTTCACGTCATGGTGGGTGCATATTTGCATCTATTGACAACCTAAACCCGATTGTCTCAGTGGATCAAAACTTTGATGGGCTACTTGTGCCAAAAGACCATGTAAGTCGCAGTAAAATAGATAATTACTATATAAATACTGATTATGTGTTAAGATCCCATACCACTGCTCATGAAAGAGACTTGATAAAAAGTGGTTGGAATGCATTTCTTAATACTGGCGATTGTTATAGAAGAGATGAGATTGATCGTACTCATTATCCTGTATTTCACCAAACAGAAGGAGTTCGAATATTTGAACAGCATGAGATATTTCAAGATAGTCTTGTAAGGTTTTATTTTTAATTTACTTATCAAACGTATTTATTCAAAACTAATATCAAAATTATTTACTTTGCTTTATGTAACTGGAGTATAATATACTGCTAGGAGTAGTCACTAACATTTATAAAGTGACAAGAACATGCCGTCAATTGCTTTTTAATTTTCAATGTGTGTATTTAAACCTATTATGACAATAAATGACACAACAAAAGACCTATTTTAAAACTTAAAGTCTAAAGATTTTCAAGTGAGATTTTCAGGAAGATCATCAATATAAATGAGAATCAACATAGGACTTAGGGCCTTGAGAGGTTACTAGAAATAAATGTATATTTTTTTAAACAAGTATGACTTTAATACTGGGTAATTCCACATCAAATCACCCAGACTATTGGACCACATGTCTTTCTTTTGTTTTATGTTTTGACACATGGTTCCTATTTATAAAAAAACATTGCATGCTAATTTAAAATATTTCAGCTTAAAATGTTGAGCAGTTGACGAGAAATTATAATTTTGATATTTGTGTGGTTTCATAGAATGATCCAGTTTTCATGACATTAAAAAAAAATGTTTTTCTAAATAAAATAAGTAATAACAATGGCAAAAAAAAAAAATAAAAAAATAAAAATAATCATTTATAATAATTTTTTGATGCAGAACTCAATAAATGTACTTAAAGTGCTGAAGAGAATTAGCCTAAAAGTTAATAAAATAATTAGTTTATATGGCGCAACTTTAGGACCCAATATCTTAAAACACCCTTGTTTAATTTTTTTTTCAATATACTATATACTTTTAGTTACTTATAATCTTACATTTCACCAAAAATCTAACTGGAAAAACAACAATAACATAGAACTATCTATCACTTTTTCCAGAAATTACCAAAAATTTTTTGCAAATACAATAAAAATAAATTTAATTTAATCTAAAAAGTTACTTTTCAAGGTATTGAAGGTGTAAATTATTTTAACTGTATTTGTTATAGTTCACAATATTTTTGCCATTTGTACTTCTTCCATTTCCACTTTTTCAAACTTAAAGTTCCTACTGAAACTTGAGCAAGCTTGTGGAACAGATAGTTTTTTCAATATATTTATGCTGGAAATTAAACAGTAGAATTTAGTTTCCATATGATAGTTTCAAACTTTCTTGCACTCTCAACTTTTTTACAGTCCCGCCAATCCCTTCTCATGATTACTTTTTGTGGGGTAAAAAAGTTTCATTTAGCTTTAAGGCCAATTTCACTTATTGTTATGCTAGTTAGCATATATTATAAAAATTTTTACATTTTTTGTACTACCCTGCTAACCATTATTGAATTAATGTAATTTGAGCAGATTAAAAAGTTTTGTTTTTGATGGGGCTAAGATTAGTTGAAATACTTTGTACACATAGGTTAAATTGTGTTTAATTTTGGCTGATATAAAACAATAAGCAATATATTTTAGTACACTTTCATCATTTTTATAGTATATCACTAATTGATGTAAAAAACATTGTTGGATGTTGATAGCTCTGTATTTCATCTTGGGCTACAAAAAAATACAAGTTCATTCTTTAACCAATTAAAGAATGAACAATTTTTAGTTTAAAATTGCTTGTAGTTTATCTCAAAATCATCTTCATATTCTTCAAAAATTTCATCCAAATGAGCAATTCTTTACCAGGACAATCATAACACTGTGCAAGTATAAATTCTTTGTTTTTTTTCTTAAGTAATCAGTTTTTGAAAGTAGATTCTTATACACTTCATCAATATTTAAGGCATGCACTAGCAATATTTAAGGCATGCTTTAGCATTTTGGTATTAAGATTTTTTTTAAAATGCTATTTATTCCATAACATATTTTTGAGAGAAATTTTACTTAGAATGATGATACTACAAAATCCTCATCATCTTGTTCACTCTAATTTTGTTCCTCTTTTGGATAATCTTCTTTTCTGGCAATCTTTTGTTTACAAGGTTTGCAGAGTTTCTTCTCAGGAATGATATTCAAGCTATTTTTAATCATGTCTTGTAACTCTTTTATTGTAACTAATTCAAGATTTTCTAAAAATAATTAAATTTTATAAAGCTTGTTTACCTAAATCTTTATTTTGTTATGTTTTAGAAAGTAAAAAAACTAAAAAAATACATATAATAATAAAATATTTAGTGCTTTTGTTTATATTGAATGTGTATTATGTGTATTGATCAAAAGGAACGTGTATAGTGTATTAAACAGGTCACAACAAGCTCTCTGCCATATAGGATACATTTTTAAATATTTTGGAGTATGTCTTTCACATATTATTGTTAAGTTTAATAAATTATTGCTACAGTGTAAATATATAATTGTTTTTTCTTCATTGCTTAAAGTTTCAAACATCTCTTTGGGTTTCGCATGTCTCTTATTACCCTAAGTAGGGTAGTTTCACATCAAACCACCCATAATTTAGGATGTTTTGAAGAAGAATTATTATTTTTTTAAATTTGTTTAAAGAAACATTTTCTTCTTATGACCAAGTGAATTATCTTATCAAGATGTGTTCTATTAAATCTTTATAAGGAAGAAAATATTGAATTATTGAAAACTTTTCTAGGTATATCATAGAAAGAGAGCTAATTGGTTTATTGAATGCTTTTGAAATTCTAAGAGCAATAGCTTCCTTTGCTTAACTGTTTTGATCAAACTAGAAGACAATTGGGCATTAGTTAGGGATAGGGTGACCATTGTCTCGCTTTTTACATAGGAGAGCGCTCTCCTATGTGAAAACCGGGACAATGGTTACCCTAGTTAGTGAGGCCAGAGCAGTCTTTAAAATTTTTCAAAATTAGAATACTATTTTCTAGAATACATAAAAATAAGATTTACTTAAATTGTTAGCTATGTGTATACTTATTGATCCATTTATCCTTTCTGAGTAATTTGGAAGCTGGTCATAACTTAACTCTAGGGATCAAAGCTTATTGTACCAAAGGGTAAGATCATAAAATTATAAACCAAGAACTGTCAACTGAGTTTAGTAATAAAGCTGGTTATGTGAGTTTTAGTTATAGCACATTTATAAAATGTCTTAATAAAAAAGGATAGATTTTTATGTTGCTACCAGAAAACTGCTTCTAAGGGTGACAGCAGCTTCTAAGGGTCTAAGGATTAAAAAATATAAGTGGGGTAAAAAAAGTCTACATTGATTTGTAAAAGATTGATCTAAGGTTCTTGATAAATTGTACTGGCTAGGGTAGAAGAAATTATCAAGAGGTAGAGTGGAAAACATTGCACTATTGAATAAACAACTTAAAATTATCTAGTCAAGTTAATATGTCTGGTCAGGCTAATGTTGAGAATAATAAAACATTTATTTAAAAACAAATATAATGATATAAACACGTCTAAACTATTGTGCACCTTTCTTGTAAGGCCATATCTAGACTACGCAACTTCATATCTAGACTACACAACTTCATATCTAGACTACGCAACTTCATATCTAGACTACGCAACTTCATATCTAGACTACGCAACTTCAGTATGGTATATTTACTTAAAACAAGACAAAAAAAAAGTGGAAGTGATATAACATAAAGCAACACAAACAAAATGTCTTCAAGGAAAAAACTATGAAACAAGACTAACCATGCTTTAAATTAACCTGCTTTGAATTAGCAGAAAAATTTAGGACTCTTAAAAAAGATGGGACTATACACTTTTGCAACCTAATCCAGTTTTATAAAATAGTAAAAAATATAGTTGGACTTGTTTTTAATATAAATCTGCTGTTAAAGCCTAGATTGCCTAGGCTCCATACATTGTTATTACACATATACACAGTTATTGTTAAATAAATTGAAACTTGCATTGGAAAAAATTTAAAAGGAAATTCTAAAGGAATTATGTATGCATTTGATTGATTATATGCCTAAACCTATTAGAGCCTGCCTAAAAGCATGTGGTAATCATGCAAAATACTGAATTAAAGCATGACCTTATATTTTTAACATATTTTTTTAATATAATTTTTTAACTTGATTCTCTTATTTAATTGATTTTGGAACCGAAATAAATTTTTTTAAATTTATCTTTGTTATACAAAGTATTCCAAATAAAAGTTAATATAGAAAATAATTTAAGTAATAGCTAAAAATGTTTTATTTTTTAAAACTGTATATACCTAGTCGAAGCATGTGACTATTGGAATCTTTAAATCAAAGGTTAATATCTAACACTAAAATCCAAAGATGAAACATTCAAAAAGGTTAGTATCTAACACTAAAATCTTAAGATGAAACATTCAAATTTAAATTAGTCTTACAAAGAGTAAGTAGGTCTGCTGAATTTTTTTCTATGAATCAATTCTATGAGTGAAAAGGTCACAAATATTTGTAAAGAATAGATTGAAACGATTTGGTAAAGATGTTTAAAGATGTTTATATGTTCAATATTTTTTGTTACTATAGTCATGTTTCAAATTATTAGAGAGAATTTGACTAAAGTATAAGTAATACTTAGCACCCTAAGCAATAAGCAGTTGTCTCATTCCCATTGGCCTCTGAGAGTTTACCACAGAATTCTAGAAACCTTACTACCAGCGCCTCAGAACCATTAAACTAAGTTTTAAAGCTGTACCATTTTTAAAAGATAACATAAAGCGTAGTATAGCTACTACCAAAGGAAGGAGGAAAGAGTCTGAAGCCAACAAAAATTTCTTGTTTACCCCTAAAGTTATTGCCTAGAAGGTCTTCTACAAGACAGTAGTTGGGTGCAGTTTGTATCTGTCCAAGATAACTAGTTTTTTTTTTGAAAAACCATCTCTTTTAGCTTGACACATTTTTCTCTTAGAACTTCATTATGCTTTTATCACTACAAAATTTTGGTTTTCTTGCTTTAAATTTATCTAATACAAAGAAATTAAATGTTTATTTAAATGTAGTTTTTCAATTAAATAATTTTAAATTAGTTTTCAACCTTTTAAGGTAAAAAGCTGGACTTTTTACCTTAAAAGGTTTTACCTTAAAGTTTGATTCAAAATTAAAGTTACTTTAGAGTTGGTACTTGTGTTTCTTTCTTTATTATTTCATTACTTATGTTGTTGTTGTTGTTCAATCTTTTATCTGATTATTTAAGTAAATATTTAAAAATACAATTATATTAAAATTGTTTAGGATGACTCTTTGCGGTTAATTGAAAAGAACCCTACAAAGCGAACTTTTGAAAAGCAGGAATTAATAACTTTAGACGCAACAAAGTTTTTAGAGTTTAATCTAAAGTATACATTATCAAAGCTTGTTGAACATTTGTTTGGTCAAGATGTAGAAATGCGCTGGGTTGATGCGTACTTTCCTTTTACACATCCATCATGGGAGCTAGAAGTAAAGTTTAATGATGAATGGATAGAAATGTTAGGTTGTGGTATTTTAGAACAGAAAATTCTTCAGAGTTGTATGTAAAAACTTTTTGAGTTTTTTTAAGTTTTATAATTTTAATTCTTAAATAATGGTGACAAAATGTTTTAGTTTTTATCTTTGTTTGCTACAATTGGAGTATCTGATAAATTTTTCATCTTTGTTTGCTACAGCTGGAGCACCTGATAAAGTTGGATGGGCATTTGGTCTTGGACTTGAACGATTTGCAATGAGGTTGTATGATATCCCAGATATTCGTTTATTTTGGAGTGAAGACGAAAGATTTTTAGGGCAATTTCGAAGCAGCAACGATCAAAAATTTAAGCCTTTTAGTAAATATCCTCCTTCGTATAAAGATATTTCTTTTTGGGCTAACTCAGATTTCTCAGCAAATGATTTATTTGAAATTGTGAGAGGTGTTTCTGGTGATGTCATTGAAGAGGTATACTTTAAAATATGTTAATTTTAATTGATGACACATTCTGTTTCTTAGTTCATCCCAGCTAACAATTAACATTTAAAATACATTGCCACAATGTTCATTTAGGTTCAAGTACACTTGCTGCAAATGTTACAAGAACCAATTTTTCTGAACTTCAAGTTACAGTTCTTGAATGTTCAATACAAACGTTCTAATAAAAAACAGTGAAGGTTTACTTAAGCCTTTTTTTGATAGCTCTTGAATGTTTACCTCAACCACGCAATAAAGAACACGGAAGTTTACGCAGCGTTTTTTTTTTTTTTTAATTTTAGACAAATTTTCTGTTTAAACTTATATTAGCTAGTTTTTGTGTAATGTAATTCTTTTTTGAACTTACATATTTAACAATTGTTAAATAAGTACTTAAGTAAAAATTCATTTGTACTTATGTACAAATTCAACATGTTTTACAACTGAGTTACACCATATCAAGCTTATTTAAGAGTCCATGATTTAATTATTACATTTCTACCAATTAGGTGAGCTGATTGCACTTAACAAAAATTCATACTAAAATAGATAGTTATTGCAATGAAAATGTTCATTTATTATTACTAGTTAGTGCTTTAAAGGACACTTACAACAATTTACATCAATTTAATTTAAATCTGTTTCCAAAATGACATCAACAAAATATAAAATAAATATATGCTGTTTCAATAAAAAAGTACAGCTTTTAACGCTAAAAACATAAAAATTATACACATCTTTTTTAAAATAGCACAATTAACAGTACTTCATCTAAAATGAAAATTCTTTTATTTTTATTGAAAATTTAAATTTTTTTGTTAAAAAAACAAAAGCTCTTTGCGGTTTTTATTAACAAACTAGTTTTATTTATGAATGACTTAAATGTACTATTTATAAAAAACTTAAACTGTTATAAACTGTCCATTCTATATAAAAATAGTTTTATACACAAACCACTAAAATAGATACCACAAAAGCTTAAACAAACCACAATAAATTAACATATTAACAATTAGTATTCTAATATGATTCATAAAATGCGCTTTACATAGTTGAAACAGGAAACTGTTTTCACTAAATAAATATCCCATCTATATTCAGAGCGATTTCCAAGTCAAATAAATTGTTTAATTTTTCCTCTTCAAGATGGCCTAGTATTTGTAACAAATTTTTACTTATTTCAGATAAACATATTGCGAGTATATTTATAATCTCTGAATGACAAACTGTTTTTATCAGAAGCATCAGAATCTAAATTAGATTGAACAGAAAACACTTTTTCTGAGTTGCACTAGCTTTTTTTTAAAACAAATTTCTTTAAGTGTTGTTGTCACTTTGATTGTTGCTTTGTTGTGGTTATTACTAAAGATGTCACTTAGCAGCCATCCACTTTAGTCTGTATATCTGACAAGCTTATTGTTCTGCTTCATTTTAGCTATTTTCAAGTATGATAAAATAATATATTTCATCTAAAACAGAACTAAAGTATTTTAACATAACAGTATATTAAACAAAACAAGTTTAACTTCTTCATGTATAGCGTGTACCTATATATAAATATGACTTTTATTCATACTAGCTGAGATCGGCCCCGTAAAAATACGGGTATTTGTATATCTATTCCGAACCGAACTTTTCTATACTTTTTCCTTATATATTCTAGCTTTCTGGATCCGTAAAATACAGGTCTTTACCAATTTAAATATCTATTTCTAGCCGAAAATTTCTATACCTATTCCTTATTTACTTCAATTTTTTCTTAAAACAATTTATTCTGAAAAAAAATTTAAGAGCAAAAAACTAAACATGCACACCTTTTCCGCATACATAGAGCTTATAAGATACTTATAATTAGCTTTGTTTTTCTGCTAAATGCATTTCATTGATAGCTCAGTGATTAAGTGTGCTGTCATCAATGTTGTTTTGGAGGGTTTAAGACCTCCTCTTAGCGTAATAAGTTTTGAAATTTTTTCAATCTTGCTTATATATTTTTTCATGCTCAAGACAGGAAAGTAGCACTCCTGGTGGATAACTGTTCTGCCCACCCACACATTGAAAGGCTAAGCAACATCAACCTAATATTTTCCCCCCTAACACCACATCTGTCCTTCAGCCCATGGATCAAGGCGTAATACGAAGTCTTAAAGCTCATTATCGTCACAAAATTGTGTGTTTGTGTATCAAGACTGTCGAAAATAACGAACCCATGCCAAAAATTTCTATACTTCAAGCAATGAAAGATCTTGTTTCTTCGTGGAATGCTATGTCGAAGGAGACTGTCATCAACTGCTTTAAAAAAGCTGGTATCAGCAAAACAAACAAGAGTATTGATGATCATCCTTTTAAATTTTTAAAAACGAATCAAAATGCTTCGCTATACAGCTCAAAATACGGAAATGAAATACAATCCCTAGCACTGAAACTTGAGGATTGAATGAAGATGGAAAAGATGGATAATTTAAAGCAATATCAGATAACAGATTTTTTCCAGAAGTTGTTGTTTTTGTTGTTAATGATTTTTGTCAGAAAAATAACTTGTTTTAATGAAAGTTGGGCAATTTTATTTATTTTCAACCCTTTTCTTGATATCTCGAACTCTCTATATCTCAAACTTTTTTTCCGGTCTTTTTAGTGTTTGAAATATCGAGTCAACTGTATTTTGTATTATAAAAAAATCAAAAAAATTAAAAAAAAAATAGCCGCCATTGGTAGGAATCAAACCTCTAGTTTCTTGTTCAGAAGTTCGACGCCTTATCCACTCGAGCTACACCAGTATACAATCTGGTGTAGATTTTTTTAAAATAATGTAATAATTTTTTTGAGGAAAAAATGTTATAGATCCAAATTATGGAGAGCTTGACACAATGTAATTTGCAAGTGAAAATCAAACTGTAAAACTTGATAACTGTTTCAGTATGTTTTAACATATGCTTTAACATTACTTAGTTTGAAGTTTGCGTTCGTTAGATATTCGTTCACGTTTTCTTATAGTGCTGCGACTCTTTTTTACCAATTCCGCAGTTGCAATGGCTGCAAAGAGTTTCGTGTCAAATACGCTCCAAGGGACACAATTAAAACTATTAAGTTCGGCATTATTATATAAATTTGTCAGATATTATACATGTTGACTAGTTATCACTAGGTGTTATACATGTTGACTAGTCAAGTCTGAAAAGTACAATAGTTAAGTTAGTGTTGACTAGTCAACATGTATAATAGTCATGTTTATAGTATAAGATGTATATAAGTTATGCATAATATGTATATAAATTATATACATATTTAATACTTGTATTATTTAAATACATATTATACTACTAAATACTTATAAATTATACATTAGTAATACTATTTAATTATATGTTTTATCTAGAAAGTTGAAACATATTATTTTAATTATTTAACTTAAAATAGGGAATACTATAATTTAACGTATGATCCTACTCAAATATGCTTTCTTTAGTCAAATATTATGGCCTAATTTAAGTACAAATAACAGTCAAAATGAGAAGAGTGGCCTTGTAAACAATACAAACTCAAAAAAGAACAAGGACAAGAAAATATACAGAATTAAAAAACAACAACAATGAAATAAAACAAAAAACAACAACAAATATATATATATATATAGTGGAAATGGGGGCAAAATCGCGTATGGAGGCACAACTGTTTTTTAACATGTCCTTTTGAAAAATGGTGTTTAGGTGCAGCTAAAAAAAAAAAGTTCCTTACATTCTGCAATCAAAATTTTAATCAAAATAAATTTTCTATTTTTGCTGGGAGTTACATTTACAGCAGGATTATTTTTCTACTTTATATATGTTTAATTTTAATTAATCAACTTGTTTCATTATGAGCAATCTTCTAAATTTTCATTTAAATCGCTTCTTTTCTTTGTTTTTGATATACTGCAGCCGTTTTTTTTTTTTCTTCAGAACTCTTTGAAAATATGTATTCAACAACCTGGAGGGAACACATGGGTGTAGTTGAAGATAAAATATCAAAAAATTTAGGAATAATGTACAAAGCAAAGCAGTTATTACATCGAACTTGTTTAAAAAACATTTACTTTTCTTTTATTCATTGCTACTTAAGTTATGCGAACATTGCTTGGTGTAGCACTAACGCGACAAAAATAAAAAATTGCTTAGCAAACAAAAACAGGCTATAAGGATAATTTCAAACGTAGATCATTTTTCACACACACAAACACTTTTTAATGAACTCAATATCCTAAATGTATATAAACGAAACCTCTATCAAGTTCTTATTTTCAAACTATTTGAAAACTATTATAAATATAATTAAATAAGTTAAACTATAAAATGCTCTACCAATAAAATGTTTTTATATAAAATCATATCTTCTTATTTTTTCAAACCAAGTCTTAAATGTTATTTTTGTCATTTTAATATTTTATTAAATTTTGTTTCTTTTATTTTACAAAACAATTGTTAAATCTTATTCTTTGAAAAACTATAAATTTTAAACGATATGCGATATATTTAAATTTTCTTTTATAATATAAATCAGAGATATATGACGTAATGACGCATATATCTAGTAATGACGCATTTTTTGGGGCTTAATGATAAGACTAAATTTGTCTTCTTCTAGCCCCGGTCAAGTAATTATTTTTTTTTATAAGTTACGACTGTAAATTTTTTTTTTATCGGCAAAAGTGTAAATAAATAAAATAACATTTGTAGACATCTAAACTAGCATATTTTGTAAAAATGTCAAAATTGATTTTTTTTTTCCTAAAGGCGTTTTGAAAAATGGCTGCAGTATAGGAGAGATAAAACAAGAATAAAAGACAATTGTTTGCAGTTTTAATGAATAAATTATTAAATTTTACTGAAACTTTGATCTATTGTAATTGCGTAGTTTGCTTTTTAAATACAGATTTAAACAATTAGTTCTGAAGAAATATATTTGAATATATAACTATTTAAATACTTAAAAATTTAATCGGAATATTTAAACATCTA